GTTTGAACTCTCATTCTGACGGCACCCATTCACTGCAGAGGATCTCTGAGCAAATTATGTAATGCTACATTTCTACAAATCTGTTCTGATAAAGAAACAAACTCATCTACATCTTTGGATGGCCTGACGTAAATTTTCTTTTTTGGGGGTTTACTATTCCTTTAACTAGTCGTGCATTTCAGTTCTCATGACATTGAAAACCATTTTGTTTTTCTTTATTAAGGTTTGTATTCTTTTATACGTCGTTATGCATATTCATGAACCACTACAAAGAGAGCTTCCTTCATGGTTGACTCTAGAAATGTTCTATTGATCAACTGTAATATTCATAAAAATATGACATTTCTGTGCATATGGTGGACGAACTCTAGTGTGACCACACTTTACATGAATACTGTCTCTGTGTTTTCAGGACCATGGAGCACTGCTTCCACATGTGTGATAGAGTCGTCATATACTTCTTTATCGCTGCCTCTTACACACCATGGTACGTCTCTGTATACATTTCTGTCTTATTCAAATCACTTCAGAGAATTCAAAAATTAAATGCATATTTTATATTTATATTTAAATTTCCTTGTCTTTTTGGACACCATAATACCATGTTTGGGATCAGTAAGATTTTAGAAAGTGTCTTCTGTTCACCAAGGCTGCATTTATTTGATCAAAAATACAGTAAAAACAGTAAAATTGTGAAATATTATTACAATTTAAAATAATTTATTTCTATGTGAATATAGTGTAAAATGTAATTTATTCCTGTGAAGCAAAGCTGAATTTTCAGCAACATTACTCCAGTCTTCCTCTTTCATAACATTATAAATGTCTTTACTGTCACTTTTGATCAATTTAATGCGTCCTTGCTGAATAAAAGTATCAAACTCTTTCAAGAAATATTTGATACCGTGAATAAGGTGTACGGTAAGCATTCAGTACTGTGGTATTATCCCATAGCTCTGTACTTTTTCTAATGTTAAATATGCCATATAGTCTTCACTTCTGTGTAATATATAAGCTTCAGGATCCACAAGCGATGCATTTCCTCATTTAATTTTTAACAGTATCTCCTATCTAACAATCTTACACCTTTCTAAAGATAGAGAAATAATGGAGAATAAAAATGTATTGAATAACATAGATAAATGTAAATCCACTCTGAACAGATGGTTACAGAGGGATCTTACAATCTTTGGAAGGGTTCTTTTGTCTAAAATGGATAGTTTGTCCAGACTTATCTACCCAGCCTTCTCCTTGCCCATATCGACAAGAATGATCAAATTAATAAATAAGGTGACTTTTAAATTTATCTGGAGAAATAAATGTCACTACATAAGAAAGGAAGATATAATTAAAAAATATGAAGATGGTGGTGTGAATGCGATCGATTTTGATGTTATGAATGGTGTTCTGAAATTGAAATGGTTAAAATCCTTCATTCAAAATAGCAGTTCTTTTTGGTTTATTGTCCCCAGTGCAATTTTTAACAAACTTTTTCTACGTTGTGATTTTGAGTGTACCTCGTTACCAGTTAAACTTTCAGCTTTCCATCAGCAAGTGTTGCTCTATTGGAAATTATTGTTCAAACATAACTTCACACCTCACAACACTCCAGTTTGGAATAATAGATATATAAAGATTGGCAGAAAGTCAGTATATTCTGAGGAATGGAAATCCAAAGGAATTTGGGCGATTGCCCATTTCTTGGATGATAATGGAAATGTGTTACTGTATAGAGAATTCTGTGAAAAATTCCAACTGCAGTGTTCTGTTAATACTTATAATAGAATAATTAGAGCCATTCCAATTGCTATAAGATTAATAGTTAAAGAAGACATTTTGTACTCCAAAGGCTCCCCAGAACTGAGACAGTTCTCCTTAGAAGGTTATGATTTTTGTGATTAAAAAATGTACAAATGGAGTCATTAGAGATTTTATTTTACAGGCTTATTGTCCTAACCCTATTAGAAGGGAATACATGCTCAAAGATTTTGATATTATGGAAAAAAAAAATTAGGAAAAGCTATATATCTCTTCCTCTTCCTCCTAAAGTTAAGGAGGTGAACTTCAAAATTTTAAATGAGATTTATCCTACCAATGAATTTTTAAGACTGAAATTTAATTTGGATGTGAATAATTGTGTTTTTTGTGAAACGAATATTGAAAATCTAGAGCATGTTTTCTTTTGTTGTGATTTGGTGCAACTTTTTTGGAGAGATGTACAGAACTGGCTACAGTCTAGAGAGGTTGAACTTACAATGAAGTTAATTAGGTTTGGTATTTGTCTGGAAAACAAAGAGTTGGATTTTGTTATTAATTTCTTGCTTTGTCTTGGAAAGTCTTTCCAACATTTCCATAAAATGAAAGCAAAATACACAAATAATATTTAGACTGTTTCTGATCAAATAAAGCTGTAATTGATGCCATAAAATCATGAGTATGTTTTGATTTAAAAGGTCGGAAGCTTACATGAACAAAACAACAACAAAAAAAACACAAACATGACACTTAAATAAAGTGTGAAAAAGTGAAGTGACATGTGGCCAAGTATGGTGACCCATACTCGGAATTAGTGCTCTGCATTTATCGCATCCTAAGTGCACACACACACAGCAGTGAACACACACACACACACACACCGTGAACACACACCCGGAGCAGTGGGCAGCCATTTTTGCTGCGGTGCCCGGGGAGCAGTTGTGGGTTCGGTGCCTTGCTCAAGGGCACCTCAGTCGTGGTATTGAAGGTGGGAGAGAGCGCTGTCACTCCCCCCACCTACAATCCCTGCCGGTACGAGACTCGAACCCACAACCTTTGGGTTACGAGTCTGACTCTCTAACCATTAGGCCATGACTTCCCCTTCTAAATAATTTTATATATGTTAATATGTTATATTTTTTAAACAAATTATGAGCTCTAAAAGATTTTTTACTTTAGACCATTTACAAATGTTAAATCATAAAATAAAATGTCATGGTTCCCACTGCATCTTTCTGAAAAAAATGCAGTGATTAATATATAGTTTATTTATAGTTATTTTCAAATCTTCAATGTACTGTCATTATAAAATAACTTTATTATTGTTTATTTAATTCTAACAAATAAGTTCTTGTTAAAAACTAACCAAAATTAAAAATAATTATATATCGGCATCGGCTATTGGCCAAAATGAGTTGAAAATTAATGGCATATCGGATATCGGCAAAAATCCAATATCGTGCATCCCTATTTATTTCCATTGAAGTGTTTTATTATATTGCTGATTGATAAAACGGGCCACTTGAGATTTGCTATATAGCTCACCATGCCTCTGAATGATTTAACATTGACATTTACCACAGTATTTACATGCATTCAAAGAATGCCATGGTTTGTGTCCGACACTTCATGAAGATCAGACTTTTTACATGCTGTGCAATGATAATGAATCAGACGTGGCTGGTTTCGTCATGCTGATGGTTGTTGGATCGATCAGGGTGTGTGTGTGTGTGTTACGGTGACACACATTCCTGCGTGATGAGCACTAATGAAGGTGTGTTTTTCCCGCAGGCTCAACCTCCGGGAGCTCGGGCCTCTCGCCGCTCACATGCGCTGGTTTGTGTGGCTGATGGCGGCAGCCGGGACCATCTATGTGTTTAACTACCACGAAAAGTACGTTTGACTTCAACTTAATGTCTTATACTGTATCTGATATCCCTTGACAACATACCTTAATTATGCAAAATTGATAATTAAATGGTTAGTTCACCCAAAAATGAAAATTAGGCTGCGTTTTA